TCATTCACGGCATAGCAGGCGTCATAATTTCCTTGCTTTTTATGGTTGGATAATGTGTGATGCTTCATTGATGTTTGTGATGCATATTGAGTTGCTTCTACTTCCTTTGTAGATCTAATGTGAATAACGCTGTCGATTCCTTCACCCGAACCAGATTTAGGCTCAGTCATAGTAACACACTGGTCCCTTGAGGTACACCTGGCCTGACATATGAACAACTTGGGTTATGACTGGAATTTTAGTTTTAACTTACAGAGTCTTGAGTTACAACCCGAATGCTGGCTGCTTGTGCTTCCAGATGGTCTCAGATGCAGATCTAACCCTTACAGAGCTCTGGAAGGAACATGGCAGCATCCTTTCCTGCGTGGGGCTCACCGAGAAACCCCGGGCCATGTCTCTCTAAGGACACTAAGATCTGCTGTGTGTAGGAGCGAGACTCTGAAGGCTGTGTAGGAACCTGAGCCTTCACTGACCAACTTGAGTTACAACCTGTCCTCGGGAAGAAATTCAGTTCGTAAGTCAAGGGTCCACTGAATATCCTATTTTCTTCTCACATGTTAGTAGAATTTAGCCTTCATTTACTAGTGCTTTATTGGGGGGGTGTTGCTGAGGATTGAATACAGAGTATTTGCACAGAGCTACATTCTGAGCTCTTTTTAAATTTTTTGAGACTAGGTCATGCTAAGTCACTAAGTGGCCAGACTGGACTAGAACTTGCAATCCCCCTGCCTCAGCCTCCTAAAGTTGTGGGATTATGTCACTGTGCCTGGCTGTTCTTTTCTTTCCCTCTTCTCTCCCCTCCCTTGTTCTTTCTGAGACAGGGTTGCCTTATGTCTTCTAGGCTGACCTTGACCTCACTATGTAACCCCAGGCTGGCCTTGGACTCGATCCTCGTGCCTCAGCCTCCTGAGTGCTGGGATCACAGGTGTGCACCATGATGCCTGGCAGTTAGTGCTTTTTTTGAGAGGTGACTAAATGAAATAACGAAGTTGAGGTACGGAAATTTGGTCGTCTCTCTAGTCAGGTCCCACTGGTCCACCCCCCCATCCACTGCAGAAGTCTAAGACATTCTCCAGATCTTGTCAGATCTTTCCTCACCAGGAACGGAGTGGTCCTCCTTCTGGGTCATGTGACAGCAGGATGGGGTGGTGGGGTGGGGAGTGGCAGACACTTTCCACTTCAGCCCAAAAGGCAGAGGGAGGGGCTGAGGGAATAGAGGAGCTGTTATCACTCTGGAGGAGATGGTTTCTCCTCAATCCGTCTATCTCTCCAGTGAGTGGAGGACCCAGGAGCCTGGCCCTGGCTTTGAGTGTTCCAGCTGGGGGAAGATGGAGCAAAGCCAGTCTCCAACTCTTCTGTTCATCCGGCACCTGGCAGCTAATGTGTCTTTTCTTGGAAACAATTCACTCTACTGCCATTGAATCTGCACTTCACGTGTTTTCTTGAAACAGAAATTTATGGGACCACATAGTGAGCTCAAGGCCAGCCTTGAACAGTGAGAGCCTGTCTCCAAAAATAAACAAACAAACAAACAAACAAACAAATAAAATTAAAAAGAAAGCACCAGGCGTGGTTTCACATGCCTGTAATCCCAGCACTTGGGAGGCTGAGGCAGGAGGATCGCTGTGAGTTCAAGACCAGCCTGGGCTACATGGTGAGTTCCAGGTCAGTCTCAACTATATAGTGAGACCCTGTCTTAAACAAACGGAAAAAAAAAAAAAAAAAAAGCAATTTGTAGGACCCCAGCTTCTTGCATCATTTTGATTAGAAATTAGTTCTCAGATTCCAGCCCTCGCAGAAAAGACTGCTAAACATTTTTGTCTTTATTCACTATACATGTGTTGGGATTATTTTGCTGTAAAACTGAATCTTCATCTAAATCGACCTTATTACAGGCTGTAAAGGTTTAAAATATTTTTTTCTTTTTACGGACCTCATGCACGCTGGGTCAATGTCTATCGTTGAGGTACATCCCCAACTTCTAATAGTGTCTTCTGATTAACACTTATTTTTCAGGGATGTAATTTTGTATGCTGCTTATATTGTTGTTTTTAAGTGTAAGCTTAAGACAATTTTACATATAACTGCTTAGAAAACATTTTGTTACTTGCTACTAAAAGGTAATTTCTATATATGGAAAAGCTTATTTTAAATTATTTAGTAACAAAAGTGAATCAATTTAAATAAAATATTGATAAAATAATAACACAAATAGCTTGTAGATAGACCACACTAGATGGCTGGCATCAGTCCTACTAGACTCTGGGAAAACAGGTTCACCTTTTACAGTTGTACGCAAAACGACCGAGCTATGGAAGCCGGGAGGGCCAGAGTTAAGGCTGGAGCGCACTCACACCTCTAGCCGCCTCCCCGCCCGTGCGGCCCAGTGCGCAGGCGCATCGGCGCTCCCTGCG